TAATAAATGTTTATTTGTCAAGAGGTCATCAGAAGCAATTAAAGATGGCTCGTTAGCGTGTGTCAGGGTCGGATGGGCGGCCTGCACATGTGTGGCTGTGTGTATGTCGGGAAGCACTATCGGTCCGGGCGCTGAACGTCGCATACGCGTCAGTCTTTTTCCCCCCGGCAACTGATCATTATTACAATAATAAGCTAGTCTTGACGTAGATCTACGTAATGAATTGTGTGCTGGTCTACAGGAATTAAAAGTTGCCGTATGCTCAGCTCTTCACAGCAACACAACTTTTTCTTGGTAAACAATCGAGATGACACAGGCTTGTGTATTTGAACGAATCGGTCTTTTTTTTTTTTTACACAGCTCATAATATGCAGGTGCCAGGTGGTCTGCTAATCTTCAATTTTACCTTTTTCTACAACAAAGAAAGTGGGAAACATGGGGGGTAGGGGGGGCTTATCAATGAGGCGGCGAGCATAGGATCAGCAGAAAAGGTGTGGGGGAAACTAAAAAATGGCGGAAAATTGGAAGCACTGAACGTTAGATCTATAGAACAAAGACACTTCCTTTTTTCCTGACCCGAGTCCGAATAACATTTTTTCATATTCGGACTCGAGTCCGAATAAGATTCTTTTTACAAAGTGACTATTTCTCCGAACGGTTTCCAGCTTCCGGTCTAGTGATTTTTTGCCTATTTATTATTGCGAGAGTTCGGCGCCAACTTTCATTCTGCCTCTGGTCTGGGAAGGAACACCACATGGCAAGCCCGCCTACAGACAACCTTCAGTAACACCCACCACCATCATGCACATATACACACACTAACTAATACACACACTAACTAAACATGACCAGTGGGCAACTTTTGAACGTATGACGAGCTGAGCTGTGGATGGAGAGACAGTGAAGCAGTCGACTCTACCGTAGGAACATAAATATTATATAACAGTCAAACCACGTTGTTCCGCCAGGTTTAGCCAATGTACAAAAAGAATCTCCTATAAACATATTTGCGCCCTTACACCCCCATCTGCCATCCACTAACTGTCTCAGTTTTGTACAGTCCATATTTAACTACTGTAAATTTACCCCGTTGCACTGTCAATGAATAGGCTGCAAGATACATTATATTTTCAAAATTTAGTGTTTTGTGAAAGATACGTAACAGCACCCTCTATCGCATGAGATGTACTTCTCTAGACTCTAAAACAAATTTCATTTTTTGGGTTTTTTTTATTGAACTGGTAGAATTTTAGGACTTACTGCAGATGCTGCCCTGAAGCCGAAAGGTCTGTTTAGTTTTGCAAGGCTTTAATTTATATTTGTGAAGTTACAATGTTGATCTGATTGAAGTGGCTGATTGAGAAATAGATGAATATTTTTTTTATTGTTTTTACGGTCTTCTGTGGAAATTGTAGTCTATTTTAGGGCCTAGATACATTGAAAATATGGATTTGTTTGTACTGGTTTTCAGTAGAGAAAACAAAATGGCCACGCTTACTTTTCATTGAAGAGCTGGGGGTCAGTTTCATATCATTCATTACGAAAGGAAAACAGGTTTTTGAAATATAAATATGCCACAAAAAAGACATGAATATATATCTTTGATACATATATATTTGGTGATTAGAGTGTAGGGTTGACTAGGTTATTTATTCCTGTAGTTAGTGAAATGTATGATTTATTTGTCAAGTGAGGTTAAAATTCTTTACGTGGATCAGGTCAATAGTCTCTAAAATCCACCTGCTTTTGAAGCAGACTTTTCCATTCTGATTTGTAAGGTCAACTTTACTTTAACCTGAGGAAGCTTCTAATTTAAGACCTATAGTATAATAATAGTGCAGTCAGAAGTTTGTGGCGCAACTTATCCTCAAATTTCTCTTTAACAGGAGAATCAGTGTCACCCATACTTTGTTCAGAAGTTTGTATCAATTTGTTTTTAACTTAATAATTATATTTTCCCACAACAATTGAAGCAAGATTAAAAAACTTTTCTTCAGAGATTATATAAAATACTATAATAAACTATAACTTCGCGATCATATACTTTTTGCTTTGGCACTACTAAGGGCTCTCTAAACAAATGTTTTCAATAATAAGCATAATGTCGCGACTAGAAAAAGATGACCGACTAGCTTTCAAAAGCAATAAGCTGCGATTTTACCCCAGTTGTAAACCTTTTTATAATCTGTAGAAACCACCCACTGGTGTTATTAAGGAACTTTCGAAAATACAACTGACAGGTTTGTGCAAAAATGTTGATAAAAATTGATACCAGTCATTGTGCAAAAGATGGAGAGTATGTTTGATAGTTAAGGGAAATTCAACAATAAGTTGCGCCTCGAATTTTTGACCCCACAATAATAGTACAAGCATTTAATGTTCATGTGTATTACTTACATCCACTAATATATTTTTTCCTGACAGTTCTAACTGAATTTATATATTTATTCTTGATTCACATTACAGAGTGGATTTTGAAAAGTATAGCGGGGGCCAGCATTGGTGGGGATAGCCTACTGCCTCTTCGGACACTGCAACTGCAACACGCAAAATGACTCCTGGAGTGCTATTTAGAAACCAATTGGTAAGTTCTCTTGTAGTACTTGTACTTGTTGGTATTTTGAAAGAGAATAGATTCCAACTTACTGCATCATTCAATTTCGCAGTAAAAGAGCTCTTTTATTTAGCATTTCGAAATATTTCGTTTCACCATTTATGCTAATGGAATTGCAGATCTCATGGCGTATTTACAAAGAAGAGGAAGCTGGGATTGACTTTCAAGTCTTCATCATCCATTTCTAAGACTATGAAAAATGTTGGTGTTTTTAGCTCATAGCATTAGGGAATGAGATTTCTGTGCTAGATTTCCAGTGTACAGTTGTAGAATATTGGCATAAAAGTAGATCTTGACATTAATCACATGTCATTGTCATATTATTTCATGACTTATTTTTACTCAGAACATTTAATCCTAAGATGCTTGATAAAGGTTACAGAAAATTTGGTTGTCTTATTCTAGAAATTGCTAAAACTGTAATGGTTTCAGAATTTAAATTTAAATGTACCGTATCATGTGATTTTGATCCACAGAATCAAAAACTTATTATGTATGTCCTTTGTGCTTCAGAATTTATCTAAACCTTTTTGTGTATGATTTTGATCCACAGATGCAGAAATGTACAATGATTCATCCTGGAAAAGGGAGAAAGCCAGACCCTCTGGATGTTCCTGCTACCAACAAGATTTTCATAATCCGTCACTTAGTTGGAGAACAAGGGAACATGAAAAGAATTGATAAGTGGCGAAGTGGTTTCAGAAACCTTTTTCTAATTCGTCTTTGACACCAGATTGTGTGGTCAGGAAGTGTGAATGTGTGGTGCAGAAAATACTGACTCTGGAAAGTGACATCCTGTGTGAATTTTTGTTGAGGCCACTGAAACTGAACTCTGTGTCTTTTTCCCTGGATGCTTGTGACATGGACGGAACAAGACATATTTTTAACTGCAGGTCATGTTTAATTAAATGCTGGGAATAAAAGCTTGACTAACGAAAATATTATTGAGATCTAATTCATTTAAGTCCAAAGAGAGGTAGAAAATGGGGGTAGATTTTGTACCTTTGTGGGTTGAGGAACTAATTTGCAATGATGATGCAGACATTTCAAAAGTCAGATCTTTTGTTTAGTGAATATACAACAATTTGTTAAAGAAAAATAAGAAAAAATAAGAAAAATAGTCACTGAGCAGAAACTTTTGTCAAAGAAAATGAACACAAACACAATTGAGGAACATGCTGCTACTTCTAAAAACAAAACCACACACGCCCTTTGAAATTGTTAACACAAATATAAAAAAACATGCCCAAAGCAGGTAATTGAATGTACTGAATGCCCAGAGCTGCCAGCTAAAATAAGATCTTTCGACTTTAAAAAGTCTCCTCAGTAGGTAGGATACAGCTGGAAAATGCTTTTCTCCAGAATGAAAAAGGAAAAGTTGAGCTACAGATGGTTAAATGAAAGAACAATATGAAACAAGAATGAATGAAAAATCAGATAAGAGTTGTCAAGCTCTGTCACAGAAAATGAAAGAAAGTGTAGAAAACGAAAAAAAGCAGATGCAAAGCCAAAAGCGAAGACTTAACTAATATTTTGAAAACAGTCACATGCAGCAGGCAATGTGTCTGTTGGTTTTATAACGCGTAAACATTGAGCTGCTAGGCTACATTTTAAAAAAATGTTCAATAATTTACAATGCAGCTCTCTAAACAATTTTGTCACTTATGTCCCTCTTCCTTCTAGGGTTTTTGTTAGAATGCATCATCACTATTGTTATTTTTTGGCAGTTGATATTTTATTTGTTTACAGTATACTTAAGATCACCCCTTTTGAGATGGAGATTCACAAGAGAGAAGAGGGATTTACATTACGCACAAAATAATTTTGATAAATTTTCATCTCGATCTTTCTTGCGATATCTCTGTTATCATTCCTTCTTCATACATGTGTCTGAGATTTCAGATTGTATGATGAACTATAATGTGAATTTATTCAAAATTGACATAGAAATAATCTCAGGGAAAGGGGTGGCTGTCCAGTAGTTGACCATTTGTCTCTCTAGAGCTCTTATACAGCTTGAAATGGCACGTTTCAGGGTTGATTCTCAGGACCTTTCAATGACTCAATGTTGAACAGAACTTCTGTTCACCATTGAGTTTCAACTATTCGATTGTATGTGGGTTATTTCCTTGACTCGTGTCTCTAAGAAAAACAAACAAACCCAACAAACAAATAAAACCCAAAAAGGAAGACAGCCGGTCTATAACACAGTCAGTTTTAAATAAATTATGTACATTAAATTCATTAATTGTTGCTGGCCTATTTAAGGTACATTTTAGTACACATTATTATAATATAATGGTTGATTTCAGATTTATGTAAAGTTTTGTGTTTTCTCGGTAGGTTTGATTGAAATTTTAAAAACTTTTATTCTCGACCTAGTTTTTTTCTGTTTTCATACTAACAAATTTGATGTCCCCTCGGTTTAATTTTATGCCAAGTTTTATTGAACTTGATGCACAAATGACAGTTATGATTTTTGTTTAAATTGTGCCAAGTTTTTAAATTGAAACTGATCCTATATTACAGACTTTTTGCCCTTTAATAATATGGGTCCCTCTTTTTTAGACTCTTGGTATGCGAGGTTGCAAAGTATATGTATATAGATTATTTTATATATATAGAGAGAGAATGACAGAAAAAGAGGGAATATGCACAAAGAGATTACATTTACATGTGTATGAGAGTAAGGAATGTGTGATACTGATGACTGATGAGTCTATGGTTGTACTGTACCATTGTAAACATTAGATATCATGTTTATTCACTTTCAGTTTGGTTGTGCACATTGTTGAGCACAAAGAGCAACACTGTGAGGAGTGCTAGATTCGTTTTATAAATCATTATTATTTTTTAAAATATATTTTTTTGTATAGAAAAATGCTAGATTTTGAGAGCATGAATTTGTTGTGTGCACTGCTTATGAAGATCTCTACCTATCCGTAAAAAAAAACCCAACTGTTTACAGTCGACTACAGATGAGTTTATGTCAGGGGAACTGAGTAATTTGTAAAGAAGAAAGATCAGGTGTAGTAAGGATCTCAGAAAACATTATACACTAAGCGGAGTCTACTGTAATTTTCATCTTTCACTTTCATGATCATAGCTTGACTACGATATGTAATCTTTGTGCCTAGTTTACAAAAGAGAAACCTATTTTTGTCAATAATTTGATTTTACAAAATGTAGGTTATGTCAACTCTATATATGAACATTGTTCATGTACGCACTTTCATTTTTCATTAACAGTAAAAGAAAAGGAATGTGTGATGCTGTTACTAAAGGGGACGTAATCCAGGTAATATTGTGACTAAAGGGACGTAATCACGGTAATTTTTGTTCCACCAACAATGCTACTTTTTATGTTTTTTGACCAACTTGTATCTGCTTTGTAAATAAACATATTAATAGTAATTTACAATGTAGTTCTATACAGTTTTGTCACTTGTGTATGTGTTCCTGCTTTTCTGAGCTTTTCTTTTCTTCCAATTACCATACCGTACTTGATCTGATTTTCTTCACATAACTTTGCTTCTATCTCTTCTTTTATTATCCTGTTGCTATGTCAATCTCGGAGGAGGGAGGGAGGGGGAGGAGGGATGGAGGGGGGAGGGAATGGTGATAAAAATCCGGCGGTTCGACATAGGGTCGCCATCGGCATATATAATGAATAGGTCAGCCGCCGCCCTGGGGCCTACACTTTGTGACGGCTTGGCCGACGTAGACCCAATATGAAACAGAATATAGGGTCGTCATCGGCATATAATGAATAGGTCGGCTGCCGCCCTCGGGCTGACACTACACTCTACGGGGTGGCCAACTTCGGACCGCCGGTCAAAAGTAGGGGCAAATGAGTTCCAGCCGCCTCCAGCGGCAAAAGCTGGCCTAGGTCGGACATTATCGTTGTCCTACATCGAGTAGATTTCTGGCCGCTGTTTTCATGCTGGCTGGGTGTGTCCACCTGTCCGAAGAAGATAGGCTATTTTAACCCTAAATGTGCGTAATTTAAAAAAAAAAGGTACAGGACATTACATGTAAATTATGGAATCACACACATTAAGGGGCCTGCCAGTGTCAGTACATTGGTCGCGGCAGT